GGAAAAGACCAATCTCTTTGTTTGTTTAAGATCACACCAAAGTCCAGGGAACTCAATCTAATCTCCAGGATCTCAGGTTCACACCTCCAACACTGGTTCTACCTTGTTGCTGGCAGCCTTTGATTTATGCTTATCTAGATTTCACCTTCTACAACATTTCTTTAGTCCTAGAATTGCTTTTACATTGCTTTGTCTGAATGTCCAGATTGGTGTTGGTTTGATACATGTCATGTGTAAGAAATGCTGTTATCTTGTAGAGATCTCAAGGCTCAGCTATAATTGTCTAATGACTATGCCTGTGGAGAAGACAATAATCATTGACCATCTTGAAGAGGCTGAGAAAGAGACATGAGAAGCTTCAGGTTGAATGTTTAGTGATGATTTAAGTGGAAAAATCCAACTTCACCCACCTGAGCTCTGAGTCCCAGAAATTGCCCACAACTGCAGCTCTCAACCTTCAGCAGCATTCAGGGGGTCACAACAACAGGTCCCAGCTGGGACAAGCCAAAAGTAACTCCAAAACAGGAAATCCAGTTCAGGAGCTGAGACCCAGCTCTGCACAGTAACCCTTGGACAACATATACTCTCATCTCAGGGTGATGCACAGCAACTCTCTCTTTTATGCTGATAATACACAAAGAAACCAGAGTTATGCCTGAAACTACAGGAGGAAAAGCTGCATCCATGTGATGAAACCCAGAATCCCAGAGCACAGGGGGCAGAAGTGTTGCAGCACAAGCTACAGGGGATCTGGTGTGTCCTGTAGAGTCTCACACACAGTGTACACACGAGCCAAACCACTGAAAGCATGAGGGATTTTACTGTCCTGCTTTCTTTCCTCTCACATTCTCCCTGAACTCACATTGAATTCCTAATCACATTCCTGATGCACCAGATCTTTTTTTCTGGGAAATGCAATGGTTCACCTTTCTCCCTGCACTCCAGATCTGCACTTTCAGCACACTGCAGACAACACCCAACCTGAGCCAAAAAAACTCCAAGTGACACACGACTTGGCTAAGCGTCGAGGCAAAGTCATTCCATGAATCCAAGGTTCATTCCCATGACCTTCAGCAGATCCATCAGTGTCCATCTGCTCAGCCTCTCAATGGGCATCAGGAGCCCTGTGAAAAGGGAACAGTCAGGAAAGGGAGTAATACAAATAAGGAGCCTATTTATCCAATTTATGTTTTAATTTATGCAGATTAAAGTCTTCCTCTTTGGAGAGGAAGACACAAATGGGATGTATGATCTCCTTCCAAGATTTTCCTGAGATGTTTTGAAAACAGAGAGCTCTGCTCCTCCCCCACCCACTCTCTTTGAGGAGTTCTTGCCTCACAGGTTCAGAGTTGTCCAACGTCTCAGCTCTGCTTTCATGGCCCTCACCATGAAGACAAACAGGCTTGAGCATCTCCCACTGCTCTGCAGCACTAGTGGAGCTACAAGTCTCAAGATATTGGCAAGGACTCCCCCAAACCAGACCCTCTCCCCCTCGATGCAGAGCCAGAAGTGCTGTTTGCACCTCTGGGGAACTTGTGTTTCGCTGTCTAAAGAGACAAACATCAACAAGTACCTGAAACTAAGCACATGGCAGAGCCTTGCACTGACAATTATTGTGTGAAGAAGCCAGAATACACCTTATCCCTGCTCCCAGCTGTTCCATGGAAATGACCTTGTGCTAGAACAATGTTCCCAACAGAGCAGACACCGGGACAATCGGATCCAGCCCACGTTTCCATGTGGAGGATGAAGACTTAATGTTTCTGGTTCAGCAAGAGCCATGAAATTCCAGATTTCCTGTTGAGTGTGAGGGAGCTCTGATGAAGAAAAGAACACACCCCTAACTGAGGGGCACTCAGTGGGCTCTCCCTCTCTTCAGGGTGGGTGTCCCAACCCCCCGATGGCTAATCGTGGGACTCACCTGTGTTTGGAGTCTCTGGGCAGTGGTTCCCTCTCCCAGTGCAGAGGCAATTCCTCTTGGGTCATTTATGACCAGGATTTGGACTCCAGCCAGTCTCACCCTCTCAACCTTCAGATCTTCCTCCTGAGAGCAGCAGCTGAGCCTCCAAGCCAAAGAGCTGTGCCACCACCTTGACTTTGGGACCTTTGTGCCAAGAGTCAGCCCCAGCCAGTCCTCATCCACTGGGACAGGGGGATGGAGCCCTCCAGCTGGGAGCTTAGGAGCAGCTCTGCCCTTCCTCCCCTCAGCACATGGTAAGCTCATTTGGCTCAGACACACACAACCCTCATTAGCCATCACATCACCCTCCCAACAGCCCTCGAGGCCCTTGGTAGCAGCAGGACAATGTCAGACCTCACACATGGCAGGTCTAAGGGGACATCTCCCAAATCTTGGCTCTCAAGGCCACAAACTAAGTGCAGTTTCCACTGGTTTTGATATTCCCACCTGTCCTTACCTACCCTGTAGCCAACTGCAATCATTATGCCAGGAAAAACTAACCTGGAGTTCAATGCTCTGCTGTCACCTCCCTGCTTAACTTCTCCCACCTTGTCTGCCCATGGTCCTCACAGGTCTCTAGGTGCAGCATCCAAAGGCCTTTTCTGTGAAACTCACCCACAGAGCAATTCCTTTCACAGCTAGCCCAAGGTGCAGCAATGCCATGGAGAGCTGATAACTCACCTGACAGGTGAGTTCCTTTAGGGGGAAAGAAAAAGAAGCTCACATGATGTCTGCTCTGTTTGTTGGGATTACAGGAAAGGTCTCTCCCTGAGTGTGGCTTCACTTTCTAGCACAAATAAAGACTGAGCCCGCACGTCTGCAGTGCAATTTGTTAGCACTTTAATGATGACAGGTTGGAAGGGTTAGAAAGGCAAAGAAAAAAAAATAACCAAACCAAGAGTACTAATTGTCAAGATCAACCTTTCTAACCTCAGATTTGCAGTGCTGAGCAGAGAGTTTCTAGGAGGCTTTTAGCTTTTGGAGAAATAAACAGAAATAGAGCCAACAGAATCCATCGAAGAGCATTGGTTCAGCTCCTCACTGAGGACCATCCCCAGGAAAGGGAAAAACCCAAGAGGATAAGGTCTTGGGGATGCCCTTGAAAGCTGCCAGAACCTTTCAGCCCTGTGTGCTCTGCCTGCACCTTGCTCAGACATCTCTACCGACCCTGGAGAGCCCCAAACGTCCACTCATTCCCTCACTGTCCTCGTCACCGCAGTAACTCTTTGTCTTAGCTCCATGTGCTACGCAAATCGTCGTCTGTGCAGGCTTTAGTCGACCTCATCCAGCATGGAAAAACACTCCCCAGCAAATCCTCATTGTTGGAATGTTATTTATAGCCAGCTTTTTTATGAATAAAAGAGCTGCTCGTGAGTCAGCTCTCAGATTGTTCTTGCAGGTCCTGAGCCCGTGTGCCCCATGCCCAGGGAGCTGCAGCTCTTGGGGAAGGCAAGGAGCAATTTCTTGCCTCCTTTCTTTAATTCAACCCTTCTTGGATGGCTCTGCTTGCTCCCATCAGCCAGAGTAACACCATTTCACCC